TTGAGTGTAATCTTCTTTAAAATTTATATTTTTGTTATTTTGGGGAAAACTAAATGAAAATCCTACTCTAGTATATATACTCTGGGATTTAGTTACTTCCGTCTATAGGAAACAGTATTTTGGATGGGAAGGCACAGCAGTTACATGAACGAACAAATAAGAGATCATACCCTTGCCTCAAGGTAGTGTGGTAGAGTGGCTAAGACTGGAGTCAGACGACCTGGGTCTGTGTCCTACCGCAAGCCAATAATTTAAAGGACACTTCTAACTTCCCTCATGCTATATTTATAAAGCTAAGCCCATAAACATACTCAATTTCATACATATAATTTGTGACACATCTCTTCACATTTAATGGAAGTTTAAAGCACATGTAGCTATGTAGGCATGGGGCTTAATTTAAAATTGTGTGATATGTTACACAATCACACAATACAAATTGTTAAACTTAGACAATATAAGTGTTGTGGAGTTTCACACCAGGCAGGAAGGTGGACCCCTGACCTTGCCATGTCAAGGAGCCTGAAATAAGCTTTACTTCACTTTATAATCCCGTTCTTCTTCCCCTCTCCTCCTAAGGGACTAAGTCCTACAAGAGGGACTAAGACGTACAAAGAGCACATAGCCCAGAGCTTGGCACACAGAAAATGATGACTGGACATCATTTGCTCTTACTGTTGTCATTAGTGGTTGTGGTATTTGTTTTTGCAATAGATTGGATGCTTTGCTAGGTTATTTATAAATATTATCACATCTACACCTCAAAAGAGCCATGAGAAATAGGGGGCATCATATCTAGATGAAGAAATTAGCTGAGAAAAGTTCAGGAATTTCTACTAGAGAGTAGAGGGCAGAGCCAGCATTTAAGCCAGGTTAGTCCAATGTGGAGCCTTTTCCTCCACACCTCCACGGCCACTCTCCTGCTGATTTCCATACTCCCAAAGGAGGCCAAGCCGAGTTTAATATGAAGCGGTCATAGAAAAACACCCCTCTGTTCATCTTCCAGTTTCCAGGTTTTGTATTTGAGTAAGCTGATTAATAAGCTGGCATTCACATCGTATATATTTATATAAATGCATATATTTATGTATTTATTTATTTATATCTTTTTCCCAACTAAAGGCAAGTATATATTATTAAAGCAAATTCCCATCTATCAAATTATACATTTCTGGGAATTTCATTATAAAATTGGAAATCTATTCATTAGATATTCTGACCACGAGATTTAACAAACATCACATTCAAAGAACAAAACTGCAAACAACTATTTAAGAGGGAAATTTAACAAATTTTGACTAACGTGTTAAGAGCTCCTTAATGTAAATCTTAGACGTTCTGATTTGAAACAAAGCTTAAAGGTCTAAAGCAGTTTTCAAACCTGAGTGCACGTTAGAATTGCCTGGGGCAGCTTTGAGACAACAACAACAGTAACTAACACCACCCCAGGCCTGGGACTCCCCTCCAAAGACTGTGTCTCAACTGGTCGGAGAACTCGTGTTGTTGGAAAGCTCCCCAGGTGATTCTAATGGGCTGTCAGGGCTGGAGTCACTGGTCTAAAGGAAAGGCAAGAGAGTCTAATTGAAGAGGACAATAAATACCTGCTGAAACAAATTAAGTCCACAGGGCTAAAAAAAAATCCATGCCTGCATCTGTCCAGCATCCCTGAAAGAATCTTCCGTTGATCCTGAGCCCTCCTCAGAGGCTCTCTCCTTCCCTCAGAGCTACTTATCTCTGAAGAGTTGAGGCTGCCCATCTTTCCAGTTCTTCACTTCTCAACCCACGTCAAGTCAGCAGTCCCAATCCCCACCCCCTTGAAAAGGACCTTACTAAGCCTCAACCAGTAATTCATTGTATATTAATATATAGCATATAATCAACACATTATATATAATGTAATCTAATCATAACATAACAATATATAATAATATTAATATATCTTGAAGACCTATCTGAAGACTGCTGTGGGTCATAAGCAGTGCTATTTAATGCCTTATTTTTTGAAAGTTGATAAGATTATAGAGCTGCATAAAGGTGGGGAGATTATCTTGTCCTGTGGTTCTCAAATTAGCTTTTTTAAAAAAGCAATACATTCCTTGATTTGGGGAGCTTATCTGAAATGTCAGTATGTGATAAAAAAGAAAAAGGAGCTACTTTGCTTGAGTGATGGTGGTGATGAGGGGCAGAATCCTGATTGCTGGGTTCTGTCCATCTTCCCCTCAGAGATAGCCCTTGCAGATTTACATAGATCCCCCGCCTCTGAGAAGCACAGTTTGAAAACCACTCATCTAGTCTTGATCCCTGCCAGGTAGAACACAGGATATGCCTGCTGCTTTCAGGAAGCTTCTAGGTTTTCTAAATAAAAATACCTAAATAGTGGTAAATAAATAGTGGTAAAGCATTATAGCTCATGAGCTTGTATCTGCATTACGTTTATTATGCACCAGGCACCTTTCTAAGTATGTCACATGTAGTGACTTATTTAGTCCCCCGGACAGTCCTGTAAGTATGGATATTATTACTCTCATTTCATGGATAAGGACATAGAAGCAGGAGACATTACATCATGTGCTGGTGTCACACAGCTAGAGAGTGTACTAACAAGCTATGCTCTTAACCACCCATACCCTGCTAATATATCGTGGTGTGTATCCAGTAACCAACACCACATACGTACTGTCTTTGTGCAAATACACTATTTAACCAATAGATCTTTAGAAATAATCACTCATCATGTTGTAGACGGTGGAGGTACAGGAGTGAATAAGACAGAAAAGATGGCTGCCCTCATGGACCCTGGTAGAGAGACAGACAACATATCTGTAAACAAATAAGGAAATAAGACAATTCAGACAGGAAATGATGCTATTAAGAACGTTTACAGGGTAGGGCCATCGGAGTGATGGGGAAGGGTGCCTTCTTCATATAAGACTTAGTAGAACTCGTTGCTCAACAGGCGGTCAGCAGCCTGGGAGCATCAGTGTCACTTGAGAGTTTGTTACAAAGGCAGAATCTCGGGGACCACTCCACACCTACCCAAAAATCAGAACCTGCACTTTCACAAGCTCCCCAGGTGATTCATGTGCACATAAAATTTTAAGGGCACTGAACAACAGAGAGCAAGTTCCTGTTGCTAGTGGCCAGGATTCATTTTTTCTCTGCCCCTCCCATTCTCACACACACACGTAGACACACACACAGACACATACACACACACACACATGCTAAGTACATGTATATAAGTGGAAAATAAAGACTTCGCATTTTGAAATACCATATTATAATATAAGAACATTCCTACTTCTATTTGCAGTGTATTCTAAGAAACTTCATCATTTGGAAACAGTACTTTGTCATAGGACTAATGATATAATTGTGGGTTATCTTGCTGATTCAACGCGAAATGATTCATAGCTCTGACTAAAAACATCATAAAAGAAAAGCTGTAACTAAAATTTCTATATCCTCTTTTAAAATATGAAATTTAATGCTTCAACTCCAATAAAATGAGTAAAAATATATTGTGAAGTTTATTATACAAAGAACTTCAATTTGCTACAAAAATATAGTGTATAAAAATATGACTTCAACATAAATTTGCTCTGAATTAGTATGCCAATTATACGCATTATTCAAACATTTAATTAAATGCTTATATTTGTATTTTGAAGAGAAGATTCATGATTGTCCAGATCACTTTTAAAAACCATTTAATTTTATTTAAGCTTATATAATCTTTTTCTCTGAGGAAAGTTCCCTATAACAAGAAACACTCAGAATCATCCCAATTACCTTAGGGTTTTAAGAAATTACTACTCAGAATACTGAGGTATTATTTCAGGAAAGGTTTGTGGCATGTTTCTTACTAAAATCAATTATAAAAGTAAAAACTACCTAACATTCCTCTACTTTGCTCTGTCCATCTTCTTCAGTTTCCTCAGAGCTCAGAAAAGGTCAAACAGAAGCCACTGGCAAAAAGAAGAACCGAAGGACTCCAGTCCTTTGAAAGCCAGCTGAACGGTCATCGGTAAGTGCGACACCTCACTCCCGTTGGCCCAGGACTTTCCCTGGTTTAGCACTGAAAGTCCCAAATGCCAAGAACCCTCTTAGTCTCTGGAAAACTGGAATGGCTGGTCTCTCAGGGACACTCAAGATTAATTAAAAAAAAAAAATAAGTTTCGACATAACTATTGCAGGATTGTGAGCACAGTATTGCACTTTATTTTGCTACTTTCAGTGAAAACCCCCAAAGATAGTTAAAATTTAACAATATAAAAAAGTATCAAATGTTATTTCAATTGTATCAAATGAACAGATGAGGTATTTGGTGAAAAGAAAAATAGAAATTGCCATACCCTTCTTCCCTTTCTCAATATTGTGAGAATAGCTTTTTGGAGAGAAAGAGAAGGAAAAAAAGCAGAAAAATAGACTTTACCTTCATTATTAACTGGACTCCATTGAGCTCCAAAATGGAGGTAAATGAAGAAAATATTAGATGTATTTTTATTTATTTAATCTTCCTAAAACTGAAAAATACATACTAATGTGTAATACACAGATTAACACTAAGGTCTTCAATGGGTCAGTAAGTCAGAGAATGTATGCTCTCCAGAAGAAAGAGGGGTTGACAGTGGTTCCTTCAGCCATCGGTTTATTTTTTGAGAATTTTGGGACACAATATCAGTTACATGCTACAGGAAGTCATCTTTATGCTAATTTATAAAATAAGAACTTTGAATATAGAATGTATAATACTTTGCTCTTGAGATGGAGTGTATTAATCAGCTTTTCTTGTGTAACAAACCACTTCAAAACTTAGCGGCTTGAGGTTGGCCTGGTGGCGTGGTGGTTGAGTTCGCGAGCTCTGCTTCGGCAGCCCAGGGTTCACAGGTTCGGATTCCAGGCATGGACCTGTGCACCACTCATCAGGCCATGCTGTGGTGGTGTCCCAAATGCAAAGTGGAGGAAGACTGGCACAGACGTTAGTTCAGGAACAATCTTCCTCACCAAAAATAAAAAAAGAAAGAAAGAAAACAGAAAAAAGCAAACAAACCCCAAACAGCTTAGTGGCTTAAAACAGTGACCTTTATTCTTTCTCATGACTCGGTGGGTAGGCTGAGTGGTTCTTCTGATATGAGCTGAGTCGTTTGGGGTTGGATGGTCTAGGATGCCTCCACTCATAAGCTGGCAGGCTGGGGGGTGGAGGAGCTCAGCTGGGATAACCCATCTCAGCTCCACAGGGTGTCTCATCCTCTAACCAGCAAGTCTAGGTTTCTACACTTGGTGATTAGTGAAGAGCAAAGAGTAGAATGAGAAAGGAAGCTCAATGCCACAAGCTTTCTCCAAGTCTTTGCTTGCATCATCTTTGCTAATGTCCCACTGGCCAAAGCAAGTCACGTGGCCAAGCCCAGACTCAAAGCTTAGAGAAAAATACTTCATTTCTTCATGAGAAGGTCTGTAAAATCACATTGCAGGAATGGGCAGAATTTATGGCTACTTTGCAAGCAATCACAGAGGTGGAACTATTAAACTATTAAAATATTTTGTAACACAGAAGTTCCTGCCTTAATTTCCACCAGAGTAAAAAAATGGCATGCATGACAGAAACGATACAAATCTGCCGACTTTTTCTGTAAAGACAAATGGCAGTTAGAATTATGTAGCATGTAGTTTTGACAAATAAACACACTTAATCTGTCCCTTCAAAGTAAATATGACATTTCAACAATAAGAAAGTATTTGTTTTTCAAAAGAAACTTGTGGTATGTAAAATACCTTTTGAAAAAGTTGTTTGAAAATATTTCCAATGTGAGATTACTTTATTCCGAAAATGGATATTGAGATTGTATAAGAAAATCCAAGACATCCCCATCACTTATAACTGGGCTTCTTCAGTTGAGGTATATGTACTTGTGAATATGCGAGGAAGAAGGGATTAACACCACATAAATATGTCACACAACTTTGGGTTATCAATTGTACTCAAAGATTAGTGATAAAAATATTATTTTACATTGAAACAAAATGGTTGTATTTTGGAGTAATGGGCAATTTTTTAAAAATTTAAAATGAGATGTGAAACTTCAAATGAATTTTGAAGTTTGTACCATGTCCCCAGCCTTGATGAGGAGGGGTGAAAAGGAGGCATGAGGGTGACAGACTACGTGTTTATGTTCCTGTAGCATCACAGGAACATTCACAGAAAAGTTTGTTTGATGTTTACTTTCACGCTATTGGGAACTATCATAATACTTACATAGTATCTTGGAATTGCTGCCTACTTCTTTCAGATATGATGGTTCTTCTCATTTACATTGTAGTCTCCTCCTAGACAGGGTTATAGTTTTTATTCACTTTTTTGGGGTAGTACTAAAATTAAAATAGTCTTCAACTTAAAGAGAAAAAAGGAGAAGTCTTGAAAATCTGTTGAATGTTTTTTGTGTTGCTAATGGGAGGGTAAATAGGTGCAATCACTGTGGAAAACAGATTGGCATTATCTCTTAAAGCTGAATATTCATCTACCGGGTGACCCGGCAGTTCTACTGTTAGGAATACATCCAAGAGAAACTCTTCCCATGTATGATGGGCAATGTAAGAATGCCAGTGTAAAAAGTTCACAGCAGTACTGTTCACAATAGCAAACACCTAGAAAGAACCTGGACGTCCATCAGTGGGAGTGGGGATTAAAGAACTGTTGTGCAATCACACAATGGAATATTACACAGCATTCTTAACTAATAAAGTACGACAACACTCACAACTGGATAAATCTTACAAATACAGTAGCAAGCAAAAAGTATCAAGTGCCAAGAGATTAGCTACAGCATGCTACCTTTTTTTTTATTATAAAGATAAAAACAAACAAATAAAAGTATATGTTTTAGAAATACATACAGGTAAAAATAAAAAAAAATGCTTGTTGAGCTGAATTTAACATGATTTTCTAAACTGACAATTTCCTTATGTAGTACTTTATAAGCATTAGATTTCAAGTAAGGTTCATGGTAGCCTGCCTCCAAGATGGACCCTAATGATCCTCAACTCCTCGTGTTCATGCTCTTTTGTAGTCCCCTCCAACTTTTATTAGGATGGAGTTGTGTAACCCACAGGATATTGTGAAACAACCATGTGTGACTTCTGAGGCTAAATCATAAAAACAATGTGGCTTCCTGCTTGCTCTCTTCGATGCCTGACTTTTAGGGAAAGCATGCCACTACGCCATGAGAATACTCAAGCAGCCCATGGAGAAGCCTAGAGGGGATCATGTGAAGCCTTTTGTCAACAAATAGCAGTAGGTGAGTGAGTCATCTTGGAAAAGATCCTAAGCCCCATGCAAGCCTTTAGGTGACTGTGGCCCTGGACGACCTCTGGACTATAACCTCATGAGAGACCCTGAGACAGAATCACCCAGCTAACTGCTCCCAAGTTCCTGGCCTATGGAGACTGGGAAGTCATACATGTTTATCGTTACTTTGACCTGCTATGATTACAGTAATTTGTTGTACAGCAATAGATACCTAAGACAAAGTCAACCGGTTATTGTTCTTTCAAAGCCATGCTTCCAGTGGTTATTTTTTTCATACTAAGCACTTTGATGTTCACATATTAATAAGTTGTTTCAAAATAACTTGCTCTGTCATGGTCCTCTGTTTACACGATATAAACATTGTTGAAACATCTCACTATGACAATGAGTTTGCAGTTTCAGTATGCCAGATAATGGAAATGAAAGTGTTTAGGTTAAATATCTAACTGTAACACAAGTAGCTTTCCTTTAGGCATATTAAAACTTTTATTAAAAAGATACAAAAGATTTAAACATTGTTGAGTTAGAATGACTACAGCAAATTATTGAAGTTATATTTTTAGTAAATACTCCCAAAGATTTTTCTAATTCTCATTTTTTCAAATTGATTAAGCTAAAACCTTTAAATTATCCATGGCTCTGCCTTACCAGAAGCCTTGATTTCTATAAATTATTTGTATAATGAACAATAGTTGCCATTTTTCGAGCACATACCAGGGGTGAAGATTGTTCTAAGCTCTTTATATACACTCTCTCATTCAATTAGAATTAGAAGAGCTAGACCTACAAAACGAAGGCAATCACCAGTAAGAGGTGTTATCCAGAGACTAGAACTGAAAAAAGGAGAAATATAAAATGACATTATTTATATTTTCCTTATTTTTGATGGTTCTTTGAGAGCATTCATACTGCTTCATAGATATCTTTTAAAAATTTTATATTTCATTTTTCTTAATTGTTACACTTGAAAACATTTTGTTATTTAGCTGTAAGTCCATTAAATTTAAGACACATTTCACTTTAATAAGTAATTTGTCATTACAATTTAAAAAATTATCTTTACAATGTTAATAAGTTTCAATATACAGTGAAAGCTTAAGTTTTGTTTTTTTTTAGCATAGTAGATAGTATATCTGGAGTTTGGTAATTAATGCTAGGCTAGTGAGTGAAAAACTTCATTATGAAAATAAAAGAATCATAAAAGATGAATCTACCTCCTAAAATTTAAAGTACTATTTTATCTCTCCTATCTATTTATATTTTTCTCAATTGAATGCTTCTATTTTTTAAAGATATAACTCTATGTTGAATGTTATAATTTGGTAACAGTTTTTAAGTAACTTCTAAAGCCTGAGATTGTTAACATAACTTCAATAAAAATCAGGAATGAAAATTCAAATTTAAAAAACAGTTTCCAGCTATCTCTTACTCCTTTAACACTTTCCTTTGGGTCGTGTTAAATTTTCACTATTCTCTTCAATTCTTCCTTAATGCGTTTAAAGTGTTGACAAATAACAAATTTTAAATGTGACAACTATAAGCATATATTAAGTTTTCCCTACTGACTGTCCCGCAACTTTTTCAAAATTTTATTTTTCATGTTGGACATTCCCAGAAGCATGTAGCACAGAGCCATTCCTTTTTCCCCGGGAAGGTGGGGAAAGTTCCAACCAGGAGATGATTTTTGAGCTGAGTCTTGATAGTAAGCAATCAGCAAAGAAGAGGTAAAAGATGGCTTTGGGTGTGATGCCACTGAGGGTGAGAGAATAGCAGGTGAAAAAGCACGGAGGTAATTTCTCTATACTAGCAAGAGACAATAGGAAAGTAAAATTTAAAAACAATACCATTTATAAAACCATCAATTATCACATTATACTAAGAATAAATTTAACAAAATGTGTACAAGACAATTGATTTTTGTCTATTAACCTTGTGTTCTGTGACCTCACTAAATTCATTTATTAATTCCAGTAAGTTTAAAATTTTTTTCTTACAATTTTCTACATAAAAAACAGATCAACTGTTGATATAAAATTTTACTTTTATCCATCTTTTATCCCTTTTATTTATTTTTCTTGGCTTATTGAACTGGTTATTACTTCCAGTACATTGTAAACTATAAAAGCATTGCAGAGAAAAAGTGAAATACATCTAAATAAATATGAAATATATCATGTTCATGCATTGGAAGATTCAAGACTGTTAGCATACTAATTCTCCCCCCAAATGATTTATAGACTTAACACTATTCAGAATAAAATCTCAACAAGCTTTTTAAAAAAATTGTAGATTCTAAAATTTTTATGAACTGCAAAGGACCCAGAATAGCCCAAACATTCTGAAAAAGAAGAAAAATATTGGAAAATTTACACACCTGATTTCAAGATATACTTTAAAGCTACTGTAATTGAGACAGTATATCAGTGTAAGGATAGAACAATAGGTCCAAAGAAAAGAATAACCCAGAAATTGTTCCATAGTTTCATGATAATCAATTTTTTGAGAAAACAGCAAACTAAATCAATGAGGAAAAAACAATTTCAACAAATGGTGTGAAACATCTGGATATCTATATGGAGGAGAAGTTAATCTTGACCTCTACCTCATGCCATCACAAGAAAGTAGGATTCTTTGGAAAAGACAATAATGCTGGGGAAAGCAGAAGGCAGCAGGAAAAGAGAAAGACCAAACATGAGATGGATTGAATCCGTAAAGGAAGCCACAGGCATGAGTCTCTACAAGCTGAGTAAGGCTGCTCAGGACAGGACATCGTGGACATCACTCATTTATAGGATTGCCAGCAGTCAGAGTCAACTTGACAGCACTTAACAACCAAAAGAACTCAACAACCATTTTTGAAAATTGTTGGGCAGTATCTACTCATGCTGAGCATCTGCATACCCTTTGAGCTAGCAATCTCACTTCTAGTTTTATATCCAATACAAATGTGTACATAAGTTCACCAGAAAACATTTACAAGTATGTTCATGGTAACCTCATTCATAGTAGCCCCAAACTGGAAATAACCCACATGTCTACTAACAGTAAAATGGATATATACATTGTGGTACATTCATATACAGCAATGAAATGTGCATATGACTGCTACTCCTAAAAAGAGGGATGAATTTTACAAAAATAATGTAGAGCTAAAGAAGCCAGACACAAGACTGTATACTGGATAATTCCACTACATGAAGTTCAAAAAACAGGCAAAACTAATTTATAGCGTTAGGTTTCAGAATAGTGGGTATCTTTTGGGGAAGCAAGTAATTATTGGGAGGCGATACCAGGGAGTCATCTGGGGTAATGGAAACATTCTATATATTGATTTAAATGATGATTAAACAGATATATTCACTTTGTTAAAATTTTTAAGTCGTACACTTACAATTTGTGCATTTTTCCGTATGAATGCTTTCTTTCAATAAAAGGTTTATAGTAAATTAAAATAAATGATGAAGGCCTGAAGCGGTGGGAATAGGGAAAAAGGGAGAAAAGTACTTGATATTAAGGATATTTCAGAGGTAAAATCCACAAGATTTGGTAATTGGTTTTGAGGAAGCCAAAGGAATCATAGCTGAGAACAGGGTAGCCTGGGAGAAGGCAGTTGATACCATTAATGGAGACTGAAAAACAAACAATGAAGGAGTTTGAGGTGAGGAGGGAGATGGGGTGATGTGGGTAGTAAGATAATAAGATGGAAGTACTGAGAAGAAACAGGCCAGGGATAGAGATATTGTTATCATTATCATATGAGGTAGTTTTGCCATCACCATCATATGAGGTATTTAGGTCATCCTTCTTAGTGGATTTCAGCTTGACTTTATTCTACACTTTGGTATGATGTGTAAACTTTATCTCTTTGACTCTTCCAGTTGCTCCTTCCTTATATATAACCTTATCTGTTTTTGAATCGATTGGATGGAGGTTTCCTACTTTACCCAACTTCCTGTGTAAAAGCTCTTCATTGCTTGCTCTCAATACGGTTTTAAGTATTCTCTCCTTATCTTGGCAACTTTTATGGTTGGGCAATCAGTCCATTCTAAATTTGTTTGCATTGCGTAGTAAGATGCCTCTTCTGTGCTTGAGATTTGTTGAGTTTCTTGGAAGTATATGTTTATGGTTTTCATCAAATTTGGAAAAATTTTCAGCCATTATATCTTTAAATATTTTTTCTGTCCCTTTGCTTCTTTCTGGAACTCCAATTACATGTGTGTTAGGCTGCTGAGGTTATCCCACAGATAACTGACATTCTGTTCATTTTTTTTTCCCGAGTTGTTTATTCTATCTCATTTTGGACAGTTTCTATTGCTATGTCTTCAAATTAACTAATCCTTTCTTCTGCAGAGTCCAATCTGATGTTAATCCCAACCAATTGATAGAATTTTCCTTTAAGACATTGTATTTTTTTCCCTAGAAGTTGGATTTGGGTCTTTATAATATATCCTATATCTCTACTTCCAATATTTAATCTTTCCTCTACCTTCTTAGACATATGGAATATAGTTACAATAACAGTTTTAATGTCCTTGTCTACTAATTCCATCACTTGTATACCTATCATTTCTTGATTTGTCTCTGTTGATTGGTTTTCTCTTTATTATGGATTGTCACATTTTCCTGCTTCTTTGTATACCTGGTAATATTTGATTGGATGCCATTCATTGTGAATTTTGCCATGTTGGGGTGCCAGATATTTTTGTATTCTCATAAATATTCTTGAATTTTATTGGGATGCACTTATGAAAACAATCTGATTCTTTCAAGGCTTGCTTTTAAGCTTTGTTAAGTGAGACTGGAGCAGGCTTCATTTAAGACTAATTTTGCCCTACTACTGAGGCAATAACTTTATGAGTATTCTACCCAATGCTCCATGAATTAAAAAGGTTTTCCACTCTGTCTTGGAGAAACCTGAATTATTCTCAGTCTTGCATGAGCTCCAGTATTTGCTCCTTCTGCTCCTCATGGTTGGTACTTTCCCCACCTGCCAGCATTTTCCTCATAGCCAGGCACTGAACTGAGAACTGAGAACTTAAGAATGAGGGGGACTCTCTGCAGATTGCTGGAGTTCTCTCTCCGTGTGGCTCCCTTTCTCCAACATTTTGCTCCATGAATTCCAGCTGCCTTGGTTTCTCTAGACTACCAGCTCCAGCTCCAACTTCTCAACTCAGGTTGGCCACCAGGCTCCACCTAGGTTCCCCCTCTCCAGGCAGTAGTCTGGGGCACTCATAGGACTAATCTTGTGTTTCCCCTCCCTCAGGGAGCACAGTCCTATGTTGTCAGAAACCAATGTCTGAAAGCTATTCTTTCATATTGTTTTCTGATTCTTTTGTTTGTTTCTGGTGAGAGGATAAATCTTGTCCCTGTTACTCCACCATGGTCATAAGTGGAAGTCCAGATGTCTTCCTCCACAAGACTTTTTTTCCTGCTTTCTTTTAAAAGAGTGTAGTGAGTAACTTATGTCATCCTTTTCCAATTGGCAGTATCATAAATCTTACATACTTCCATTTATGAATAAGCAGTAAACAGGCCACACCTGTATGACTGTCTTCCCTGGGGAGCCAAAGGAAGCATACCTTACATTTCTAGTATCTCCTATCACTGAATTTTATCTGTGTGACTGACACTATTTCTTGAAAGAACGTTTAGTTCTAGCCCTCTTTTTTCTTTTTCAATGTCTTTTCAGCTGCCCCCAATCCTATCTGATTGAAATACTGAGTTAACACGGATGGCTGTTCAGCATCGTGGCCAAGAGTCCAGATATTGGCATCAATCAGAGCTGAATCTGAGTCCTGGCTCAATGACCAAATAACAAGAATGTTCCTTGAGCTCTTACTCCCTAGCTAGGCACTGCATTTAGGGCTTTTACATGGACTAGTTCACTTAATTCTCACAATGACCCTATCTAATACCAAAGTTGGTATTACTGTTATAAGTTACAATATGGCGATCAGCGTCAGGAGTTGCAATGCCTGAGTTGAATCCTGGCATTCTCTCTCACTAACTTTGTATTATTGGAGTAGTTCTTTAGCCTCTCCAAGCCTTGGATTCTTCATCTGTGAAGTAGGAATAATACTATCTCCTTCACAGGTCTGCTGTGAGGACTATAAGAGAAAAAATATATGAGGTGTTTAGCATGTAATTGCTGTCCAAGTGCTCAATAAAAGGTGACTAGTTGCATTATTTTTCTGGGAAATACTGAGAATATAAAGGGATGTTACTTTATAACATTCAGAGAGTTTTGAGGAACTTGACAAAGTGGCTATAAGGATGCACCTCCCAGACCTTTGATTACAGGGTATAACTGTAATTGACAGAGGGCCACAGCTGCTACACTTTGAGACCCAACAGTACCTTCGTTCAAGGCCATGCCTCCCATGGGCTTCTCCCTGCCAGTGATGGAGCGTAGTCGGGGATATTAAGGCAGACTGGTTCATGGAGCAACAGGATTCCTACCAGCATTGGCTTAGTCTCAAGGACTTCCTCATGGCTTTGCTGAACCTTCATTAGACTGCACTCCATTTCTAGGACACTTCTACGCAAGCTTCTCACCCTCTCTTCTTTGCTTGAGGTCAGACTTGCATTGTAGTCTTATGGTTCTGCCAGTCTTTCCTGGCTCCTTCCCTACTTCCTTTCACATAGGCGTTCCTCCTAATCAAATGTTTAATCCTGTCTTGGTGTCTGCTTTTTGGAGGACCTGGACTAATACACATGAGTTTTTGTTTGGTTTACCCTGGTAATTACGCTAA